CCCCAAAACCCCAAAACCCCATGAGGTTGAAATTAGTAGGATCTACTAATAAAGATGAAACATACATTATATTTTTAAAAATATAAACTTCTTAATTAACACTATATCTGTATATTGCATGGAGTCTAGATTTACACTCAGAATAAGAGATCCACTAGTTAATGCGAGCTATCAGCAAGAAAGAAATAAAGATATTTTTTTCATTTGCAAATTTGCTTTAATTCTTAGGATAGCATTCACTGTATTTGGAGTTGTATAGACTCTTCTTATATCTAAAAGGTTAACAGAAGGCTAATGGAGTCTAAGGTCATCATTGATTTTATGGTAGGCACTATTGTTTGTTTTAGCATGGAAATGGCCTGATAGATTTTGTAAATTGCAAGGATTGCTTCTTGTCCCAACATATCTAGCAACTATCATAAATATAAGGGAAAATGCTTCTATCTTATAAATAGCGGGGAACATTAGTGGATTATTTGTCTACATGGTGCATGGGTTGCTGTTTAATTATAGCTGGATTTTAAGTTCAATATCGATGATAGTTACATCTAGTGGGATGATAATTTTCTATGGATTTTATGCCTAATTTGCTGATTTCTTTACGTTTTCATCAATTCTTACTGTTACTTGCCTGCTAATTTTTGCATGCTATTCTTTCGAGAAAAGACTTAAGTTATCATTTATCTAGGTGCAGCATATTTAAAAGATGAATGAGGACTTAAAGAAGCTACTAGATAAGCTACCTGAGGGAATAGTGCTGTTTGATCCAGAAACGAATTCTGTTTCTTTAGCAAACTAAGAATATAGACGTATTTTCAACATTGCTAATCATGATATTACTGTTGCTAATGACTAGTAACAGTATTTCAAAGATTGCATTGAGAATAAGTTTCTTATGAAGTACAAATTTTAGAAAGATCAAAATCCTCAAAATTAAGGAGATCAAAGTTTATCAAATTAAAATTGTATAGGCATACTTGAAGCTGTTAGCAATGATTCTGAGAAAGATTAGTGCTATCAAGTTGCTCATCATAACTTAGATGATAATTTTCTCTCTATTCATTCAAACACCCTAGCTACCTAAGGGGAAGTAGTGAGTTTATCATAGTGCCAAATTTTCTTCTAGAATGTATCTCATTGCATGATAATGGTCAAGAATTTAACTCCAGTGATTAAATACGAAAAACTTAAAATAGAAAACCACTTTTATGAAATGCTAACAGCTACTGTCTCTCATGATATGAGAACACCATTGAATATAATGAGTGGATTGCTAGGTACACTTGATAACTACGTTCAAGATGACTAAGGCAAAAGATTTCTGAACATAATTAAGAACTCATCAAAATTTATGTGTTTCCTAGTCAATGACTTGCTAGATTTCTTTCAG